TACATAAATTGTACAGCTTTTGTTGCATCAAGTCAATATAAAAGTGCCACATTACTCAGGCTGGTATCTAGCAAAGTATATAAATCTGTTCAAGAATTAAGTAAGGAGAGGAGGGAAGAGTCAGAAGCATGTTTAAGCTACCCCCTGAGGAGAGCGCAGTTATACACTGCCTGTTTTAGAAGTCACTATGTGTATTCTTCTTTCCTGAATAAGCATAATTTGCCCTTTTCAGTGAAGAACATTTATGTTTCAACAATTTCTGCTCTTTTTTAGACTTATATGCCCTGGAAGCTATTAGGATCGCCAGTTATGTTAATCCTCATGACAGAGTATTTTACTGGTATATATTTTATGAAAACACCAACAACTTATCTAAAATAAGAACCTGAAAAAAGACTGAAAACACTGGGGACCCTATTATGTTTATTTTAAATGTTTTAAAAAGTAAAATAATTTTTAGCAGTCCACATGGATTGTAACAATTCCTGTAAGGAAAGCTATATGTTGGTTTTTTGACTGGTGGTGTTAGGCGATATACTGAATTTTTCCCCATGGTTTCTTGTAGACCAGGGGCAAATAACGTTTATCTTCTTTCTGAGAAATGTTATGTGTGATGGCAACAGTCCTGAGTGGTTTGCAGTAATCTCACGTTCCTTCTACAGCTGAACTGGATGTGCAACAGGAGCAAACTAAAGTCTTGCAAAGACATGTACTATGGTCCAACTCAGAAAATCACTGTAGTATTTACATAAATCCTATTAAAGGTAAAGGGTCTTTTGGTTGTTTTGCTGAATCAGTTTAAAAGGGGGCTTTGAATCTTTATTCATTTTGATTTTCTTTTTCTAGGAGGCACAACAGAAAGAAAGCATGAGCCATAACAACGAAATCTTTCTTCCACTTTCCTCATGTTAATATTCAGAGATACTTCTTTGGGAATTGAAAGAATCATCATATCAACATCATTCCCTAGTGAGGCTGCCCATTGGTAACATCTGTAATGGTTGCCTATAGTTCACCAGTTCACTTATTATTGGTTGTAAAACACAAATCAGAAACTAGCAACCTTTTGATTACTAACAACATTATTAGAGGTGATCTATTGATAAGAAAGAAGAATATGGTCTGTATTTTTTTTCTAAAACTGCAATGTTTGTAGCCATACAGACTACTGGAATAGAAAGTAAATCATAGAATCATAGAAAATTAGGATTGGAAGGGATCTCAGGAGATCATCTAATCCACCCCCCTGCTCAAAGCAGGACCAGCCCCAACAAAATCATCTCAGGCAAGGCTTTGTCTAGCCGGTTTTTGAAACCCTGCAAGGATAGAGCTTCCACAACCTCTCTGAGTAACCTGTTCTAGTGTTTTACTACTCTCTTAGTGAGAAAATTCTTCCTCATATGCAACATAAACTTTCTTTGCTACAACTTGAGACCATTGCTCCTTGTTCTGTCATCTGCCACCACTGAGAACAGTCTAACTGTTTTGAACTCCCCTTCAGGTAATTTAGGTGCTATTAAATCCCCTCTGAGTCTCCTCTTCTCTAGATTAAATAAATCCAGTTCCCTCAGCCAGTCCTCATAAGTCATGTCCACCAGCAACCTCATCATTTTTCCTGACCTGTGCTGGACTCTCTCCAATTTGTTCACATCCTTTCAGGGGGCGGGCAAAACTGAACAGTACTCCAGGTGTGGCCTCACCAATGATGAATAGAGGGGAATAATCACTTCCCTTGACCTACTGGCAACACAACTACCAATGCAGCCCAGGATGCTGTTAGCCTTCTTGGCAACAAGCATGCACTGCTGGCTCATATTCAACTTACTGTCCACTGTAACCCACAGGTCCTCTTCTGCAGAGCTGCTGCCCAGCCAGTCATCCCCCAGCCTGTACTGGCGCATGGGATTGTTCTGTCCTAAGTGCAGGACTTTGTACTTGCCCTTGTTGAACCTAATGAGATTACTTTTGGTCCAATCCTCCAATTTGTCTAGGTCACTTTGAATCCTAGCCCTACCCTCCAGTGTATCTACTACTCCCTCCAGCTTGGTGTCATCTGCAAACTTGCTGAGGGTGCACTCTATGCCATCTTCCAGGTAACTGATGAAGACACTGAACAAAACTGGCTCCAGGGCAGACACCTGGGGCACTCCACTTGATAACGACTGCCAACTAGACATCGAGCCATTGATTACTACCCTCTAAGCCTGATGCTCCAGCCAGTTTTCTATCCATCTTCCAGTCCATTCATCCAGCCCATATTTTCTTAGCTTGCCCGAGAGAATGTTGTAGGGGACCGTATGAAAAGCCTTGCTAAAATCAAGGAATACCATATCCACTGGTCTCCCTGCACCCACAGAGTGAGTAACCTCATCATAGAAGGCAATCAGTTTGTTCAGGCATGACTTGCCCCTGGTGAATCCATACTGACTGTTCCTAACCACCTTTTCCTCCTCCAAGTGCTTAGAAATAGCTTCCTTCAGGATCTTCTCCATGATTTTTCCAGGGACTGAGGTGATGCTGATCAGTCTCTAGTTCCCTGGATCTTTCTTTTTCCCTTTCTTAAATATGGGCACTGTGTTTGCCCTTTTCCAATCATCCAGGACCTCTCCTGATCCCCATGAGTTTTCAAAGATGATGGCCATTGGCTCTGCAATTACATCAGCCAACTCCTTCAGCACCCTCAGGTGCAACCCTATCTGGCCCCATGGACTTGTATATGGACAGCTTTTCTAAATAGTCCCTAACCTGTTCGTTTGCCATGGTTGCCTGCTCACTTCCTCCCCAAACTGTGCTGCCCAGTGCCATAGTCCTACTCTAGTGATTATCCTACTCTCATAATGGTTGTCTACTCTCATATCTAGCAATTGTCCTACATATGAACAATTTTAGCAGCACCAAAGTCTGGTTTCCTACTACAGCCAAACACAGGGCTGGTAATGAGTTTGCTCCTGACTTCTCTTAAATCTCTTGACTTGTTTCCTGGAAACTCTGGCTCTGATTCCCAGCGCACCCTGACCTCAGCTCTGACTCTTGCTGCACCCTGACTTTGGCTTAGGCACCTGGCTTACCTAGGACTGTGGTTTTTACCCCTAGCTTACCATGACCTCAGCATTGACCCCTGATCCCTGTGAACCCAGTTCACAGTTTTCAACCATTTACTAGGTGACCTTCCCTTTCTGCCCACACCCTGGTCCCCAAGGCTGAGTACAGAGAGTGAAAAAGCCAGAGACTGAATTGATTCAGTCTGTGCAGGTTAGTCTAAACTACACAGATTGAACTGATAAATATATAAACAAACCTTCATTTTTGATTCAGGAAATGCAGCCATATGCCTGCAGTGGCTCAAGTCAGAAGCTGTGGGGGGAAGGGGATGCTAGAGCAGACCTGTGAGCTGTTGCCAAAGGGAAGGGAAGAAAGAAGCCCTTCAAGGCTTTGCTCCCTCCCCCTGCTCCAGAGGAGGTGGCATGGCCAGGGAGAGTGGGGACTCTAGCCTGAGTCTGCTGATGGGGGAAGTGCCTGCCAGGTTTTTCCCCTCCTCCCACTCCCCGCTTGAGGTGGGTCAACTGCTGCCAGTCTTGGCGGGGGGGGGAAGGTAGTGGCATTGAATTAGTTAAAGATTAAACAAGAATAGTTCTTTCTCTGAAGCAAGCATATATTGAACACAGCACTTTGCAACCTCAAGCAAATGACAGAACAACCAAAAACCTTTGCCTAAGCTAAGATACAGCCCAGTCAAACACAGTGAGAGCACACACAGCTTAGTCTAATTTAAAATGGACTGTAATAAGCCAAAAAGACAAGACCAAGTCTTGCCTAAGTCTTATGTAATCCTGAGGGCAGAGTGTCTCCTTACAGCCAGGTATTCAGAAAGTCCTTGCTTATGTATTCCAGTTTCCCACCTTTTACAGGGTCGTCTTTATAATGTAAATGTAGTTCTATGCTTTCTTTGGTCACACTAGCTCAAGCTGTCTGCTATCCTCAGCACATACATGATGATTGTGCCAGGTCTTTGCCAACCCCTCCCACCTCTCAGTCTGGTCCTGCAGGGCTTGCTGCCAGCACACTGAGCTGTGGTGGGGGGTAATTAAAGCCCGTCCCAGACCTCAGCTGGGGTTTGCCTGCAGGGGGCAGTCCCTCTCAGCCTGTTGCCCACCTGCACTCTGCTGAAGCAGAGCGCAGGGGGTGTGGGCAGCACACTGAGCTGGGGACAGGGGGATTAAAGCCCCTCCGAGACCCCAGACCCCAGCAGGGGTTTTGCCTAGGGAGGGCAGTCCCTCATAGGCTGTTGCCCCAGCCTGCCCCCACCCCTTCTGCTCTAGGGGGGAAAGGTCTAGCAGGGGCTGCCCCCCACCCTCAGATTTCCCACCATCCCCACTTGTCAGGCAGCCCTCAGTGCTCCAGCTGGAAAGCAGAGTGGCGGGGCCAACCCTGCTCTCTGGAGTAAACAGCACAGCTCAACCCAGGGCTGCAAAGCATGCTGGGATGCTAGGGGACTCTGATTTAATTTAAGGGGTCTGGGGCAGAAGTTCCATAAACTGCTTTGACCTCAGTCAGGTTAAGTCTGTTACTACATTCAACCTAGTTTATCTTAAACCAGTTTTGGCCCTTGTGAAACCGGTTTATGTGCACTTAACTGTTCTGTTACAGGTTCTGTTACAGGTATAAACCAGTTTCTGATCACTTAAACTGGTTTATATGTAACTTCTGTTCTTAGCCTAGCAGGGCCCAGCTGCCTTCTTAACACAGCTAATGTTTTCCACTTGCAGCTGCTGCAGTAAAAGTTCCCTATTCTCTAGCTACCCGCAAATTCACTTCTTCAGCATCAGCCAGCTATCTGGATGATGTTGCAAATGCAAACCACGATCTCTCTGCTGATGCAGACTGCAAGACCTTGGGGTTGTGTTTTATGTGACATTCCAGTCTGTAGTACCAAAGAATTTTCCTCACGCAGCTACATGCTCCTTTTAATAGAAAGAGAGAAAAGAACGTGTAAAACTCACTCAATGAAGTAGACTTCCCCTTTTTCTGTGTAAGCCATTTCCCAATTATCAGGCAACGGGCCCAAATCATCATTCTCTTCAGGTTTTGTCTGCTTTGTTACATCCATATCCTCCTTTGCTTCTTCAGGCTGACTGTATCCTGGTGCAGGGCAAGGCTGAGAGGAAATTTCACCTGAGACACCCATACTCTTCTCCTCATGTTCGCTTGATTCTACAAGAAAACAGAAAAACCTTAAGATTTCTTTCTTGGGTTTATATCTTTTTACATACAATGGAAGGTTAACTGTGTGCAGGCCAATATCTAATGCTGGGAAACACAAGGCCTGAGAGAAAGAAGATGATATTATGTTATAAAAGTCCATTCTCCCTCCTACCCCCCAAAGCACAATAAAATAAATCAGTACAAAAATCTAAAGCATAAGTAATAAAAACCAAGAGATTCAAGTGCCTGATATACCAAAGAAAGCATGTTTTTCACTGCCCTCTATTGTTCTGAGGGGGTTCGAGGAGGGCATATGTCCTGCAGCTACACATCATTGGTTTGCCTACAAACCAGAAGAGCTCTGTCTCCATCTCTGCCAGAGCTCCTCCCAAACCAGCAGTCAGCATGGAAGGGAAGCCAGCCTTTCATCCAGCAGTGCTATTGTCCCACACCTTGTAGCTCTTAAAGTATTACGCCCATAATGTCAGCACCCTGCTGTTTTACTGCAGCAGACAAAAAGCAGAGTCTTTTCAACTTGAGGAAACACACACACACTCACGGTTGTTCTTGTAATCATACCTCATGAAGAAATCAATTTGACCACCATGCAACCTAGCACTGTATATTAACCATATGTGAAGTGGCAGTGACTTCATTTTCATCATAATTTGTGTAACCAGGGTTTAAGTGATTCAGGCCACAGTCAATGACTGCTGCCAGCTCCATCCCAGAATCTCATGAGGGAGGATCCTGCTGTTCCCTTGCCATTTTCCAAATGTTCACTCTTTTACTCTTTACGGATTCCTTAAGTTGGCAAGCCAGGTTGTTTCTCTTTGGGGTATCCAACCCATTATTCTACCAACAGTCACTACAGGCAAATTCAGATTTCCTTAAACAGGCAAATGCTTTACAACAGAATAAGACTCCTCAAATACAATGGTAGCTAAATACAAATGCACTTTTGTATTAATACTTCAAAGCATACTGTGAATGGGAAGCACATCTACAATTCCAGGGGCCCAACTACGTAAGTCTTGTGCATACTTGTGACGTTTGTCACAGAGTGACTTCCACAATCACTTAGCCGTGGGAGGAAGGCTTACCGTCCTGTGAAAGTTGCCAAAAGCAGAATAGACACAGGCTTTGCTCGGCCAATATCTCAAATGCTGTGATCTTTGTTATTTCAGTCTCATGTGACACAAAGCCAGAGTGAGTCTCAGGGATGTTAAATTCCAGCACTTGTTTCCTTGTTCTATAGGACTCCATTTCTTTTTTCAAAGGCCCCGAGGTGCTGATGTTTAATTTTCCACAACAGGCCAAAGTAATTCGAGTGACTGTTTTCCACCCAACACTCTATACCTTGATTTCATATTTTTATATAAGCCTCCATCTAAAAATATCAGGGATGTGGATAAAGCAACTTTACCTATGTTTTTTATTATTATCATGGTGAATTTTCAGGTTGTGTTCATTGCTGAATAAAATACCTTCCATATCTGCATGTATGAAGGAGAGGAATGCACTGGCAATAGGAGTGTGATGATGATAGTCATCATCACACTAAACATGAATTTCAGCACTCTTTTGTAAAAAACATCTCTGATTTGACATTTGAAGGCTGTTGGCTGATGTATTCTGGGAGTGGTGGGCATAATCAATAGATCAAGAAAAATCCCTGAGAGGCGGGCAAACTTGTCATTGGCTGGCTAACAAAAAAGGGAGCACTTTCGCATAAAAAAAAAGACCTGCCTCAGCAGTGTTAGTGAGAACTGAGGTTTCTGGGATGATTATGCAAGTTCCCCAACTTTCAAATGGACAAAATTTAGTTATTTAAAAAGCATTTGGTGAGATAGGATGGGATGAGTTTACAAAGGCAGATTTCAATGTAGCCAAATTTGTGTGTAGAACCAGATCTGCAGTACTTTCGGGAAGTACATAACATCATAAGTAGATCATTACATGTGATTCCAAAAATAATGCAAGTAAAAAGTACTTGTATCACTACTGTCAGTCTTGCTCCAAGGCCAGTCTCCATTACGTAGTGTGATTCAGAACTCAACATGTTGCATTCTTTTGAAAATTTGCCATGTGCATCACAGAAACTGCTGCGTACTGACTGCTTATGAAAGTCTGCTTATGAAGAAATGTAAATGTCTAAATGAGAGCTGAATTCTTTTGAAAATCTGACCTAAATTGTGCGACCTGTAGCTTGAAGCAAAATATTAAAGCAGTGGAGGCCACAGAAAAGAAAGTGTTATTAAATTTTGGGATGTAGAATCATAGAATCCTAGAAAAATCAGGATTGGAAGGGACATTAGGAGGTCATCTAGTCCACCCCCTGTTCAAGGCAGAACCATCACCAACTAGATCATTCTAGTGTACATTTTGTCTAGCCAGGTCTTAAAAACCTCCAAGGATGGAGATTCCACAACCTGTCTTGTAGCAAAACCCTCCGTTTTTCTTTTATTTATTTTGAAATGCATTCCCTGCCTTCCCCAAGTATTTCTGACTTTTTCTCTCCCTCTCTATTCCCTATAGATAAGTATGAGTAAGCTAAGACATAGAATGAGCTAAGACATGGGATAAGCTTTAGCATTTTTGTAGCAAGTTTTTTTCTCTCTCCTTCTTTGAGCCACTGTTTTCTATTGTATAATTATTATGTTTATACTGCTTTACTGATTTTTACTGTTTTTTTTATTGATACTATATGATTTAGGCCTACATGTGTAAGTTAACATAAGTAATGTCAAGTTATGTCAAGTTTCCATTTTGTATGTCAAGCCTCCATCTTGTGTCCTCTGCCCAGGTGTAACCGATGACTCTTGTCTAGCCAGTCTCATGTAAATTGGTTCCTGAATGAATGGGGATGAATGAGGGTGCTTGAGATACAATGGTAGCAGGCCTCTACTGAATAACCAACTCAACAACTGGACCATCAACTCAACGACTGGACCATTGCCTTGCATTGACTCACCCAGGAACCATGGACCTCACCCAGGGACAGAACAGAAACCCAGCATTTGAAAGACAAAGACCCTACAGAAATCAGCCAACTCACTATTGCAATACAGACACCCGGAACTGCACATCCTCAGTACCCCAGGGCTGACCCTTGCCTGGGCATGCCCCTGCCACTAGGGTCATAGAACGTCTGCCCCTATAACAAGGGGTAGTGAAGACAGACCCAGTGGGATGCCCTCTCCATCTGGACCAGCACTATGTCATGCCACCACCCAGAGGCCCTGCTGGTGATCCCCTCTGGACAACACCTTGCTGGAAAAGAGCCCAACTAGCCATCAAGGATCAACTCACAGCCCAGGATAGGTAGCTATCACCCACCTTCCTTCCCCAAGCAAAGGACCTGGACTCTGTCTCTACACACTTTGAGTTCAATCCCTCCACCAAGACTTTTTCTCTTCTGCTACCATTGTGTGGGGGGTGTCTGTGTGTGTGTGTGTGTAGGAACCAATAACTTTGTGGGGCTATGTAGTGTGTTGTCTGTTTAATAAACCTGTTATTTTGAAACCCTGAGTTGGGTTTTTGTTTTATTGACCTCCCAACTCTCCTCCTTGATTTCCTGGCAATCTCCCAGCTTTCTGCTTCAGTTTCCAGCCCCAATCTCCCACCTTTCTGCCTCCCTATTTCCTGGCTGTCTTCTCCTTGCCACCAGACTTCTTCCCTTACTTCTACCCGGGCACCAGGTGACCCCGAGTAACCCCGGGGCACATTAACGGTAAGTAATCCCAAGCCCCAGTGACCTCGAGTAACCCTGGGGCTGCTTGAACTTAAGTAACCCCAAGCACTAAATTACCCCAAATGCCCCCTAAACACAGCCATGAAAATGCGTGTTTGTGTATGTGTATTGGGTGTGCGGGTATTGGCAACTGATTTTTGTCTAATTTTTGGTGTGTATAGTGCATATATGCTTGAATTGGTGATGGGTGTGAATATACTTAGTCTGGTCATCTTCGATGTGTATGTGCTTGAGTTGGTAGTGTGTGTGTATGCGGCTAGTGTGTGTGTATACACCTAATTGATTTGTGTGTGTGTATACGTGCCATTGTGTCACACCCTCCCATCTAACAGCGCAATTTTGAGATCCTGAGAGTTGGCCTGGCCCCACAGGACAACACTCTGGGTAACTGATTCCAGTGTTTTTTGACCCTCCTATTGAGAAAGTTATTACTAATATCTAACTTACAATTCCCTTGCTGCAACTTGAAACCACTGCTCCTTGTTCTGTTATCTGCCACTACTGAAGACAGCCCAGCTCTATCCTCTTTGGAATCACCCATCAGGTAGTTGGATGCTGGTATTAAATCTCCTGTCAATCTTCTCTTCTCTAGGCTAAATAAGCCCAGTTCCCTCAATCTCACTTCATAAATCATGTGCCTCAGCCCCCTTACCATTTTCATTGTCATCTGTTAGATTCTCTCCAATTTACCCACATCCTTTCTGCAGTGTGTGTGTGAGGGAGGGGGAGAAGGGGGGGGGGGGGGCAAAAGTGAACAGTACTCAAGAGGTGGCCTGCCAGTACTCCAGAGGTAGCCTCACCAGTGCAGAAGAGAGCAAAGTAATCACTTCCCTTGACCTACTGGCAACACTCCTACCAATGCAGCCCAGTATGCCATTAGCTTTGTCAGCAAGGGTACACTGCTGGCTCATATTCAGCTTATTGTCCACTGTTATTGTCCATCTTATTGTAACCCCCTGGTCTTTTTCTGCAGAGCTGCTGCTTACCTAGTGGGTCCCCAGCTTGTAGAGGCATTGGGATTGTTCCATCATTGAGGCTGATGATCCAGCCATTTTTCTATCCACTTTCATTGATCAATCCTTCTCTTGTTCCTGACATACTTGTAGAAACCCTTCTTGTCACCCTCCATGTCCCTTTCTAGCTGCAATTCCAGTTGGGCTTCGGCCTCCTGATTTCATCTCTGCATGCTCAAGCAATGCTCTTATACTCCTACCTAGTTATTTGTGCAAGTTTCCACTTCTTATAAGCTTCCTTT